CTTAGAAAGGGCACCAAGTTGATCAGATATGTAGATAGTATCAAAGTTACAGTTGCTAGGTACAAATACACAATCATCTGATACCTTACCCAAACACCGTTTTATAAACATCGTGTTGTTCCTGTTTAACTTTTTCTAAACTATTAAATGGAATTTACAGTTGTCATATCACAACCCCGTTCTTCTATGCCGCTTAGTAAATGTTTGTTTAACCCTTCCGAGGTAATTGACATGTTTCTACGTGAAACAAGGGGGTCATTTTAAATCTAGAAGCCAGAATTGATAAAATATTGCCTTAATTACTGACATGTCCATTTTAGCAGCATAATTAACACAGCTTTTACTGATTTGATCGATTTGACAGAAGAGTTTTAAACTGATATTATGCGTGTTCAAAGTTCACGACTGTCACTTCACGACAATGGGATCTGCTTTTCTTTCTTAAATGTAATTTACTATTTTCATTGAACAATTATTTCAATTACGGATTTGTGCTTAAATTTAGTTTCAGAATTAAGGTACTATTGGACATCTACCATTTTGTGACATAGAGGCCCCTTAACTTTGATTCAGGAGTCTTTGGGGTTCAATTTAATTTCACGTGTATATACATTGAGCGACTTTCTTCAGTTTTGATTTCTTTTTTATTAACAAAAACAGAATAATCTGGCGGTGTTGTATTATTTAATTTAAACATGTCGACAGTTTGTATCGATTCAAGTTGACGGGATCATCGCGTCTTCATAACGTGCATTCCATTTTAACCAAATTTATCATCATCATTATACCATTTATCAGCGTAATGTTTTCTGTGTGGGCAGACGCTGGGATAAAATGCATATTAGATTCAGGGTTGTAAAAAAGTTTTTCTGACCCCCGGATTTTATATCTGTTTTAGTTTTAAAATATTGTAAGTACATGGTCTGTTACAGTTATTTAATTTGTCTCTTCTTTAAATGATGTCTCGATCTCATGCTGTATGACTACAATTTATAAACTTATTTAAGCGTAATTTCTATTCAATTGTGATCATGGATGGGGACGATTTAACCTCACACAGCCTGAACTGATCATACAAAATTAAACACGTATCAACCTCTATGTAACCGATTCCATGTGTTTAATTGTTTTAAAACTCGACATGATTTTACGCGAAGCCTTTCATGGGGTAAAGACCCCCGTCATAAACGCCACAGTGTTAGTATGGGTACTAAAACCGTCAGTGACCGATCTATGGGTCATCTTACCCCTTCAAATTACCCGGCATTAGTAGACTGTTTATTTATTTTAGACCCCTTAATATCCATCGATCAACCAATTTCTAGTGTAGTTTACGAATGGTTTTGTCATTAGTTGAAATTTTGGCTACAGTTTCGGGTTATAACTATAAACAGCTTTTGGAGTTAAAAGTGAAAGTTTCTCTTCTTTGTATACAATGAATGAGTGTAAAATAGACGGCCATGTATCTCTTTCAGAAGTTTCTGTATTTAAGAACCCACTAATTAGAAGTAATAACCGTATTGATGGCTACCTTTCATCATGTTATTTTGCATCTACATGTATGACAAAACCAGAAATCTTGCACGAATTCGCCAATTTCTTTATAACGTAATATTATGTTTTATAATAATGTCTAAAAGAGTTTTAAGCAATTAGAATTTGGTTATAAGTGATGATTATGAAACTGGGACCAGAATATGCTATCTTGGCATGGCAAAATTAACGGGAAACTATTTTCTGATGACGCGGAATGTTTTTATTTCAATACCCCCCACCCTTTACAGAGGTCTTTAACAGTGAGTTGAGTCTTGCAACGTTAGACAGGTAAACTCGCGCCTTCTCGGGTAGAAGCGTGAAATCGACATTACGATATTTGCTTAGATGAAAGATCTTAATATGATCGTAAGTGTATGCGTTGGACCACTCGACCATCCATCTTCACGGTTCAATATCTGCCTCTAATTCGATCTGAACATCTCGATTGGGATAAACAGCGACTTTATCATCCATCCTACGGCTATAAAAGTTTTAGATTAACTTGATATTTTACAAATGTCACATTCTTGAAGTTATTTATTGTTTATAAATTCCAAGGAAGCACCGAACGTGTGTTCTGTTGTTTAAATTTCAACGTGGGTGTCATTTACAATGTAGATAAGTTTATATTTACATGGTATACTTGTAGTTTATCTATTAACAAACAATGTGACGTATCAAGATCAAAACTCCAGTTGTTGTTTCACGTGTGTTATCCAACCTCCAGTTTATATATCAACGTTTGTCAATTCTAATTATTGTTTACAAAATGCTCTTTCACTTTAATTACTCAAACTACACCTTCACATGTTATAGATTTCCCCGTAAAAATGCACATTCCAGTTTATTAAAATCAAACAGTAAACATGCAGTAGACCCAAAACAGAGGCTTCGGTTACTAGATTTTTGAATAATCCAACCACAGATTTGTTCGTGTGTACCTAAGCTTTGCTAGTCATACATTATGTAACTTGAATCTGTAAAGCTAACCCCATCAACAATAGAAAGGAAGAATAAATAACAAATAAATAAGTGCGATCGTACTATGAACCGGGAATGGACGAGTATGTTCCAAGACGTCACAGCAGCCATCATCAAAGTTAACTAATCGACATGCAATTGTCCAAAGTACAAGCATTCCCAACTTTATTTCGATCGCACTGGGACATGGGCGAGCCTTAGGACTCTTTCCGGTTTCCTCCCACTGTTAACGACTCCTCTGCGCAAGCGAATTATTGTAATAAAATTCAACCATGTGCCGGTCCTGAAATAACCTAGTTAGTGTCGAGTGGACGTTACCCCCCCCCCCCCCCCCCGCCCCGCCAGCCACACAAAATATCTTAAGCACCGCCAGTGAATAAAGCTGTGAAAAGTAACACAACACGCTTTCTACTGTTTAGTGGCGATGATGTGAACGTCGTGGAAAGATACCTTTACTGTAGAGCATCAGATGGAAATTGATTAGACAACGATTCACGACATTTTATCTTAGCGATATGTAAACTTCAAATCTCCCCTTATTACCAAAATCACAGAAAATCACATCTAGGTCGTGGTTGATGGATATTAAGGATGCATTTTTCAAGAGCTAAATCTGCCTATTTGCAGGTCGCCTTAAATGTTACACAAATTATTAAACAGGCATTATGCAAGAGCTAAATATGCCTATTGCTGGCCTTTCTTTAGGCCTTAAATTTATATAAACTATTAATTAGTCAGTTATTAACATGACAACCCCATAATCAATTCTCGATGCCATCAGATTAGAACCGTTTGGTCATTTAATGATCTAATTTACAAATTTTGAAGCAGGGCTAAGCCTCGAACTAGTACATTGGTTACAATTAGTGCATACATCTTGTCAAACCCTCAAAGGCTAATATCTTCGCTCAGAATAAAGTAATTTGAATTAAATTTTCAATATATTCATTTTGCATTATCTATTTTTTGAACTATTATAGTAAGAACGGCCAGTTCTTTATCTAAATCTTACATAATGCTTCTTTAAATAGACATTTATTTACTTGCCAAGACCATAATCAACTCTCGATGCCATCGGATGCTCGAAATTTTCAACAGATTTAAATACGATTGGCAGTTAATGATTTAATTTAAAACTGGATAATCGAGATTTTGTTTGTTATCGTAACTACGGCTACAATGGCAACCGAGACTACATTCTTCTTCAAACGACAATAACTACGCTCAGAATGGAAGTAATTTGGCTGAAATTTTCAACATAATAATTTCTTTTTCATTACATGTATTTATTGTTTTAACTATTATAGCGAGAACTGTCTGCTCTTTATCAAAATCTTACATAATGCATCTTTAAATTTTAAGCTAAAAAAAAAAAGCAAATATCACTTATTTCTTAATCTATAATCGTTCTTTATTGTCCTTATATTTTATTATTACAAATATTCATACAACAATATTTTTATTTACATCTAATTAACATAATTTATGTTTGACGTCATTGACTAGAGACACACCCACCATAGTGTTAAAGTTATCACACATTATACGACTACCGTATTATATCAATAATGATATGACATGATTTATTTGTTATTTATCTACAAAAATATATCATTAGCAGTGATACATAATAACACATGTAGAAAATTTAAATCAATATTATAAGTTTACAAGAGAAATTGTTATATGATAAAAAAAACCCAAAAAACAAATAAAAACATGTATTGGGACAAAACAAAATAACGGATAGCATATAATTAAGTTAATAAAAGAAGAAAGTAAAGTTTAATTACCATTTCGAATTAAGCTGTATGTATTTTTGACATGGAATCCATTTGGAACAAGGTTTTGCACCGTCTACTGTTCAATATGTGTTTAGACTGCTTTAATTGTATTTTTCAAATCTAAAATATTTATGCACCAGATCTATCATGTTAATTTTAAACACTTCAAAAATTAACAGATTGTAATTTTTATGATTACTAAAACTACTAACGTAGCTTTTAGTAATTGCTTTTAATTTTAATAAAGAGAATAATGTAAATTAAAGTGATGAAACATTATTTTAAATAATGAATTATGAAATGTACAAATATTATAATCAATTATGATAAGGTTATTGAGCAAAGATTCAGGTATAAAATTGTACCAAAACTAACACAATATTTAAATATTACAATTTACAATAAATACACTAAAGTATCTCCACTAAATATCATTGTCTTGAGTTGTTAATTCTTTTTAGAATTTTACATTTAATGGAATATTTCCATACTTTCCATTTTTAAAAAGATTATACGTTGATATTTACATTTTACATCATGGTGCAATATTATCAGGCACCCTGTCTTAATACATATATCTATAGTAATTAAACATTTATGGCGGGCAAAGATGGCGTCACTTCCTGTTGTGTTGTTATTTCTATTTACCAAAATGTTGAGGTATTATACGGGCTTAATTAAAGTGTCCGCCGATGATACCAATTTATATACATGTATAATAAATAGGATAAAAACAACTATCTCGTCTGCTGACTGACAGACAGTGATTTTATGTTGTATTTATCATCGAGTGTTAATTTACTCATGTCATTCCACGTTAGCTACATCTTTCTTCTTCACACTTGGCATGTGATTATTGTGAGCTGAACACCTTTTATTAGTTTGTTTGTCATCAGTCCACCTAAGAGTTTAATTACACCGTGATTTCTCAGCAGGTCTGTGTTAGATTGGTCCCTAAATTTCAGCTTTGTAGATACATTGGTGACATACCGGGTTTCATTCCATAATAATTCGACATATTATAAGTCTGTGCTATACCACCCATATTATCATGAGAAGGCATGGGAGCTGGTTGGCCTGGCATCGGTTGACGGCTAAAAGCTAAAATGTCCGTGACGGAATGTGACGAGGGCCACGCTCTCATCATACACGGCGACACACAACTAGACACCGGAGGCTTATAGTTCATTGGCAAAGCATGTCCTTGAGGAGGCATCTGAGGGGAGGGGAAGGATCCATGCATGCCCATCGATGGTGGGGGACACGTATACGGATAAAACTGGTTATAGATGGGTGCCGTTGGTGGGTGCATGGATCCAGATATTGGTTTGCTATCGAACTGTTGTGGAGGGCTTGTTCCTGGACTACTGTTACCACTGCTCCCGGTGCTGCCGCCGATTTTATTCCGGAGGATCCTACTGATGGAACTAACAGAAGGAACATTATATTTATCACACACGCCATCAGCTAGAAGTTTATCTCTTATTTCCCACGCAAATATCCCGGGATCTCTATCTTTATAAACTTTAATATGTTTAACAACGTTAGGGGTGGTAACTCTGGGTTTACTACCTCCTATAGCACCGGGCAGGATTGATCCCGTTTCGTTATAACGGGCTAGTATCTTACTAACACATCCATGTGAAACGCGTAACTGACGACTTATATCACAGGGTCGTACACCAAGTTGAGCAAGCTCCACGATTCTCAATCGAATGGCATTAGGTAGAGGACGACCATTAACAAACACACCACCAAGCTGGTTCACCTCCCCGTATGTCTGATGTTCTGAAATAGAAAGAAAATATTCTGTTAAAAAGAAATAAAAATTGTAAATGCATAAAATGGCTAAAATAATTATTTCCAAAGTGTAAAGCTGATAAATCTGTCAAACCACATTAATTTGGTCTTGAAGCCTTAAAACTTTGCTTTTACTCAACTTGAAATGGCTAGACCGCTTCGATCTGAATCAAAATTAAAAGCCGTCATCGGTAAAAAAAATTACATGAAAAGATCTAGTCAATGTTGAGATCTCGATTGTATGTCCCTGTTTCAACACAGAGTGCCCAAAAAAGTCAGTAAACAGGCTTCTACTAAACGAAATTATACATCACGGCAACACCTTTAGATCCTTTAAGAGTTACTCCAATTAGAAGCAATACATTTTTGGATTGAATTGACTATACGTATCAACATTATGAATTTTTTTCAAATACATATTTTGCGTTGTGTTGTGCACAGCAACAAGCGATTGGAATTTGAGTAAAACTGACGTTTCCTTGGCCTTATCCCAGGTGTAATAATACAATGTATATTAAGTAAAATAGATGTGTTCCGGATAAAGACATCCTTCAGAAATATTAACAACCGCTGGTTTCCAGGACAGCGCGTATATAAAATTCAGAAAAATATCAGGATTGATCAATGTAGGAAATTATACTCGATATTTTTTTTCTCTCCATTACTTTTAATGCCTGAAACTATCCCCCATTAAGTTCGTAATTTTGTATTGTAATTTACCGATATAGGGCAGATGTCAGTCATATATATTGTAGATAGTAAGATTACTCCCAGGACCTTCATTACAGTAAGGTTAATTGGGTGTGTGACATACAATCATAAGAAAATCTTTAGAAAATTCTGGCGAAAATTTAATAAATGGGTGCCTACTGGGTTTTAATTCTTAACACATACATTGGAGTTTTATAATTTTATTTGACTTTTTTTTTGTGATTTCGAAGTCGTATTATTAGTTTGTTTAAAAATAGTTTTAGTATTTCTTAAAGTATGGGTACCGTCAAATAATAAATCTTGATGGCCAATATAGAACAAAAGTGAGGAAAATAATTTTAAGCATGAAAATATTCCTATTAATAATTCTATTTGCTTTCGCTGTTTAAATTTGGATATAATTAAAAACCTAGCTTTTTGGTGGTACATGTGTGTCTATCTTTGACTTTATGTGTCTAATCTTTATGTATGTAAATGATGTCTATAGTCATTAACACCGTTTTACAACTAACAGTCAATAGAAGGAAAACTTCACGTAATTTTCCTATAAATCTGTCATCATAGCAAACATGTCGCTGATACTTACTAACTAGAAGAAGCAACACGAGCTCCCTCTATATCGTCTGACTGTCTTAACAACGTGAGGTCTTGTGATTAATTAATTAAACTAATTACTGGAAGACAAGTGAAACTGTCAGGGGTTATCCTCCACTGATAAAGATGGCTGCTATTTTAAAATTGAATTGTCATTTTATCCATTATCAGATTTCGATTAAAAATGAAATAATTTGTGCCTTGGTTGTTAAAATAAAAACCCAATCAAAACAGTTGTGTTTTCGGGTATTTAAAGAGTCATTATCATGAAGAAAACACATGAAACCCCGCTTTAAACGTCTTTTGGTTAAAACGTCTATATCTGAAGGGGGTTGGCAGATATGTCTCAAATGTTATACAGGATCTAATTTGACCCACCCACCCCACCCCTCATAATTATATAGCCAAATGAAGGCAGACCGAAAATCATTATTTTATTAATTATTATGACTTCTTTAACTATAAATAAGGTATATAGATTTTTAATGAGATTAATAATATCAATCTTCAAACTTTTTATTTGTTACTTTCTTGTTGTTTTCTGTTTTAATGTTTTATATTTGTATCTGAGAAAACAAATGATTCATTTTCCATGGCTATTTTAATTTTATATATAATATTATACAGAATTATTAATACAACATTTTATCTGTTTATGCATTGATGATATTTATTCATATAATCTATCCAAGGAAAACACGTGTTATGTCAGGTCTACGTATATTTATTTTTTACAGGACTCCATGATAATCTCATAATTCCAAAGTTTCCATTTTAAATGAGGCATTTCAATTATTATCATTACTCTTTCTCAAAAAAACCTAAGTGAAATGGGTGCATTTTCTTACATTTTTACAGTTAAAATGATGGATTATTGTAAATGAGAACGTTTCTCTTTCTCTGATATATTCATTATCTATACAATTTACATATTTTGCCAATGAAAATACATGATATCTTGCAAATTTTAACAGGCAACTCACACAATGTATACAGTTACTCGAAAATTCACACACAAAATATGCCGTGGCCTCGTAAAATATTACTAGACGGATATTTTTTTCTCTTTTGAAACGTGAAAAGCCCATCTGGAAAAGGCAGCAAGGAAAACACATTGAAAGGTGTATAAATCTTCGGCGACGGTTTCGTATCTTGGTGATAGAAATGCGGCTTATTTCAGCACTTTACTTAACGACTAAAACCAAGTTTCAATACCCCTACAAATCTTTCATCTGCTTTTTGAATTTCGTTTCACCACTCTCTTCGAAATTTTCCATAAGACGGCCTAAATATGCCACATATTCCATGGGTTCAGCAGACGTAACAGTGCCATGTTTGTTTTGCAGAAATTGACGTAAGATGAGGCGATGAGAAAATTGGTAGTAAATTATGTAAGAAACTCCAGACTAAAATATGTTTCATACCATGATTGATTATTTATCTGTCAACAAATTGATAATTAAAATGAAACAGGTTTTTTCTGTATTTTAAAATGGGAAAATAACTGGATAGATATTGTAGGAATTTCATTAAAAGAATAAAATTGTGTGTTCATCTTTTTGACTTTTTTTAAAAAAAATAAATGAATAAACATAATATAGGCCAATTTTTCCTACCCTTATTTATATCCTTTTTTTTTTTTTTTTGATTCAAATTCTTGTGATTTCATTGACTTTACTTTGCATATTCCATGTTCCATAAAAAGTGTTTAAAGACTATATTTAATAATTAATTACAGTAGTCACTGTGCATAATTTGTATTTAATTTGAATTGTATTTTGCATAAAAACTTACATCGTCACAATATTACGTTTTATACTATATAAATTTACACAACACCTGATTTTACATTGAATACAATTTTACATTAAAAACAATTTTACATTGAAAACAATTTTACATTGAAAACAATTTTACACTGAAAACAATTTTACATTGAATACCATTTTATATTGAATGTAATTTTATATTGATACAATTTTACAGTGAATATAGTTTTACATTAAATATTATTTATATTGTCACAAGTTTACGTTGTATATAAACGATTTATCGTGTATAATTTGATATTGTGCATAATATTACGTTGTACCTAATGTTATACGCAAGTGCAACATTTTACGCTGTTTATTAGTACATGTATATCCAGTTTTGTCTTTGTGTGTACATTATGTTCGAAGTTACACACAATAGATGAGAAAAATCGGCTAATTTGTTTACTATAGTTTGTAGTAAGAGTAAACCTGTATCCTATTGCATGTTTATCACCAAATGTTATCTGATGTAAAGAAGCTCTCTTTCTACAGTTACTACATGTGTGTGTTTCTAACATTTTAATCTTTTCATCAGCTCACAAATCTGTCTAACTATTTATGTAATGATTTTTCCCGCGCCGAGAAGCTTGCGTGCACTTGTCAAAAGAGTTAACTTAGGTTTAAACTCTACTAAATAAAAATTAATCCCTTGTTTAAAAGATTTTACCCCAACTCCTAAAAGTACAAAAACTCTTTCTTGAGCGTGGCCATTTAATTTATAAAAGAAACGAGGTTTCTTTTAAAGGAGTTGGGTCTGTTTCTTTATTAATTCCCAACGTGTATGATATTTTATTCTATATGAAACGTAACTGAAGGGAATGAGCGAATAATTTTATTATAAAATCTAAAATTTATTGAAATAAAGTTCGTTTTATATATTATAGTGAATAATTTGATCTGACAGTTAGTGTGTTTATAAAACTTTAACCAATGGAAACATGCAGAGAGGGTACATTCTTATCAGTAGTAGAAACTTGCCGAGAATTCTAAATATTGTCAAGAAATGTGATGTCATCAATTACTTCCAGGCACCATTGTAATAGGATTTCAATTGATCACGGTTGACTGGAAAAAGAAATGTGTATTACGTATGTCTGATAAATAAAGTTTTAAATTTCACTAAAGTAACTTAATTCGATGCAGCTAGACATAATTTCGCAAACAAATTTATCATTTCTGATGTAAATTTGTTTTACTTTTATTTTGTTGTCCATGTTAATATTAACATTGTTAATAATTTTTAAAGATCTTTTATAATGATTTTCACCAATATATTTTTTATCGTTATTTTTGATAAATACTTGGTTTAAATTGTTTTTGTTCTTTTTATTATTCTTGAACACGAATAATGAAACCAAATTCGCAGAACAGTAAGACGTTAAACCCCATTTCATTTCATTTCGAAACCACATTACTTTGCAATCCCAATTATATAATAAAAAAAGGTGAATAATATATTCATTCTTCTATCAAATCAATTTTCTTATTATAGAACATTTTACCTTTCATGGGGAAACGCAGTCAATGATATAATCATTTTAGAAATGTTTTAGAAACATACATTATGGTTCTTTAAGCTAACAAAACTGAAGTCGATTCTATTTTGACACTTTTGTGTATTTCTAAAGGATTCTTGGCGTAGACGGTCTACTTGGGTCTCTTTAGTATCTTATTTTGTCCACATGTTGGTGAATTAAGACTTGAAATAAACAGCGGATAACACGTTCTGTGAAGGAACGAGGTGATGCCTGTCAGAATGGTTAGTTTATTACATCTCAGTGTCCGAGAAGTTTACATTCTACATACACACACGTGTAACATGCAAACATAGAACTTTAAAGTGCATATGATTTCTATATAATAATTCTTTTGAAGGTTGCATAAATTGACACACACAAAATGATTTTGTTTTCAATGATAACAATAAAACAATGTATTTTTTTTAAAATAAATTTTACAGCATACACAATAAACATCTAAATAGACTATGTACTTTATTTTACTAAACTTATCACATAGGTTATATCTTATTAACAACAGTAAATAGAATTATGTTTATATTCAATGTCATGAAAAGAGGGGGAGGGGATAGTTTATATTCACAGATTAAAAAATTATTATATTGGATGCTTTTCGTTATTTTATTCATATCATGCAGTAAAAGATGGAATACCGATAACTCTGTAGTGTATTTTATATGTATATAATACATCGAACATTTAATTAGCTCTATTTTTATATTAATTAATGGTTTTCAGTTGATTTCGAGAAAGCGTACAGAATATTGATTATATGTAACCTTTTCTCACTGTTTATAAATTAACATATATAATTTTATTCACTTACCCATCATTGAATGACCGTTGGTTAAATAAATCCCGTTATTTTCTAACGTTGCCAGTTTTCTTACTTAGACTCGCTGTTTTGTGGTGAAATAACAATAATAATTTAAGAAAACGCTTCATCCATTTGCCACAATAATCTAAGTACGGTGCCAAGCATTTAATGTTGTGGAATACATGTAAATATGATTCCAGTGTGACTTTTACTATGCATTTTGTTTTCCCCTACCCCCATGTGTTTGAACCCTCTCTCAGTAATTGCGCTTCACGTTGTTTCATTGGCTGCGAAGCGTCAAAACGTCAATCAAGTGAAACTTAGGCACCACCCTCTCGACGGTGGATCACTGATAATTCGTTTCGCCTACCGCACGTGCATTGAGCGAATCGTTGCACAGATTAAGGTAAATTTCAAAGAATGATGAATTATTTTAATAATAAAGTCGTATCAAATATTCATGTTGTTTCAAGATTATTCTTCAACTAAAATTATGATGGAAATGGAAAGATACAATCACTGGCAAAAACACACAAACACTGACTATATAATCAAAATGAATATTATATCACTTAAAAGGCATGTTTTTTTGTTGGTTTTTTTTGCAAAACCCGAAAAATGAAAATATGCTATCTTTTACGAGGTTAGTAGGTCTATATAGTTGGAATATTTACCCGCAAGTATGTGTTATATTTTGATATTTTGAATTATGAGCCAATATTTAATAATTTAAGATATATCACATGTATTTTAAATACATTTTTGTCTACGACAAACGTTCAGTTTTTATGCAACTACTGGAATTCTATAGACTGTAATCTTTTTTATTTCCGACAAATTTTTCAAATCAAATAGGTTTTATATAAGAAAAATTGAATAACATTATCCAGTATGATTTATCTGTTTCCGTCGGTCATGTATACGATAACTGTTGAATATTAGAAAAACAGAACAAACCATAGAGAATACAGCAATTCTAATGCTCGGCTTATTTATTTATATTATTATATTTGAATAAAGGCGTGTACTGTGTGTACTGTGAGGAAAACTGAGTTAATATTTTTTCTAATTATGACAGAGACTATCGTCATAATCTAGCTGATCGGTTGAGGTAAAAATAATTGATGTAAATCCAGTGTTTGAAGTATAAAATAATTATGAGATATCAACAAGGCAAGAAATCTACCAGAAAATGGCGAGATCTAAGAATACACATCACAGTATGAACTCGGCATTTAACATCTAACGCGGTTTTCCATTTTCACGGTCAGTTCCAGAACGGAGCACTTGGCTTCGAATGATTTGGAAATCGAGTTAAACTGAATCGGCGTGAAAAAGTTTTCCATATTTCTGTGTAGTCAAAACAGAACCGACACGTGTGTTTTCGGGATTATGGAAATATCATTTCATTCCTTAATTATTTGTAACGCTGTGCTTATTGTCGTGTTTTGGGTTAGGATTTTAATGTTCTGCAACTAAACAGAACCTTGCTATGACTGGTGATGATTTCTCTAACAGATTTATTTATTTATTTACCAGTTCTCAAATCTTATATGAGAATAAATAATAAAAAAATAGTCATGATTAATTTATGGTAAAGAAAAATATAAATATTATTAGGGAATGTATACGCAGGTTAAATTCTACGTGCTAAATCTATCAGAGATTCACATTTTTTGAATATTTCTTGCAAATACTTTTAGAATTTATTTCACATAACACAAGATAATAAATATTGTGAAAATAATTAATAATTCACGAATGAGTAGTATTTGTCGACTGGCAATACAGGCTGGGCAATTATGATTATTATATAGGCCTAATTAAAATGAAAAATTATACATTATATGATATTATTTACATACATTTTTAATAAGGATTTCTTACATTCATAAACACCTTCATGGTTTTGGATAGTTTTGTTTTTATTTGGTGTGGTGGTGGTGTGTGCGTATGTGTGTGTGTGGGGGGGGGGGGCACACTTGGTCGGTGTAATGTAATAAAAAAAATCACTTATACTATAACTATAATATACATTTGTGAATTGAAATGAAATGGGGTTAACGTCTTACATTTCGGCACCAACAGGGCTACTGAAGACCGGTTATATTTGTAATAAATGTTTAAAAATCCGTAATGAACTGCGATTACACCAATAATAACATGCAATATGAAGAGGTCCACCAGAGAAACATTTTTATTTTCCAATTTTTATATTACAGTTCATCTTTATTTTTAAAGAAGTAACAGTGTTATTCTTATTTTTTTTTTTAAGTCTTTATGGAGTTAAACATATTATTGCCATCCACATAATTACTGAATCTTACAAAACTCCACATTTCTTCTTATATCAGTTGGAGACCAAAAGGACGTTGCGGAAAATAAACAATGAACATTGTTCAAGAATATTGCTAGAACGGGAGCATAAAGAGTTAGAGTATCTAAATCGATATACATAATTATTCAACAATTACTAGCATTGATGGGGCTATTCCGATTTGAACAGAGTCTCAAAAACAAAAGTCCGAGTTTGTATGAAATTTAAGCGCCAAAATATAGAGGGATGGTGTATTTACCCTGCCTCAAAATTTCAGCTCAAACTATTGAGTTGTTTGGACGTGAACGTCAAAAATGCCTATCCGGACTCATAACCCTTTCAAGATTTCTGGTCAAATTTTTTCGTTGGGTGACCTGATAATCTATCGCCGTTCCTTTAGAGGTCTATACAGTGAATGATCCATGTGCCGTACTGGATAACGAAAGGTAAATTCCACTTACGCATTGTTTTTATAAAATAAAAGTCTGGTTTTATCCAGACACCGCATAATACAGCTTGGGACACCGATCTCCATTTCCAGATGAAGACTGAACGGTTTAAGTTGTTTGAAAACATATCACAGATATTGAATTAGTTGATTGCCCCTTAGGTACGGGATATTAAGGAGTTTTAACACAAAATTAAGAAGTTTTATTCTCCAAAATATTATCGGGATTGGCCCTTTAAAGGTTGGTATAGACTTATTTCCTCTTTAAAAACTACTAATATATTAACAATATGGGAAAATTAACTGAAAGAAATAGTGAAGTACTTATTTATTGTACAAAAAAATTTGTATTCTCAAGGTGAGGGTTTTTTCCCCAGTCTTTCCCAAGTACATGTATATAACTTGTCTCTCTTAATTGCATTAAATAAAATTCTTTGAAATTTTTATTCCATAAAATGGTAGGGTCGTAAATTATATTTTTCCCTAGAGTGAAAGGAGTCCGTCTATGTTCATATCTTAATGAGTAAACATTTAAACCTATTTGGTTTCTCTTTTGATTGAAGTGAAGTCTACAGGGAAATCAAACCACAAAAAGAAAGGGGTAATTTAAAACACATTTATTTAAGTTAACCATAGTTGGATAATCAAATTTACATTCAAACAATTTTAATAATTAACATTCTTACACACCTGTTCAACAATTTGCTTTAAAAAATATGTTATTGAGAACAGTATTTGACAGTTTTTAGTCATGGTAATCCTAAACATAGCCTTTTAAACAGTTTTAATATCTATATTTAAAATTAATAATTTTGTAATTCAGTCAGTTATCTTAACATACATTGTGTGCAAATGCAAATTCTTGTCATGGGGGAAATAATATTGGAATTGGACAGCAGGTGTAAGTGATTGGCGCACGTGCTGTTCTGACAATCGCATGTTACGGGTTCTTTTTTATGGTTAGTTTATGGTTTATGGTTTATGAACTGCCAAAACAAAAGCAAATTTATACATACAACCCTCAACGAACTGACACAAAAATCTTTTTGTAGTAGCCGAGTAAATTCTCTTTGACATATTAACCATAAGTAACCAGATTTCATAAACTAAATGTATCATGGGCAGAATGAACAAATAGGAACGTTAGAATGAATGAATTTTACAACTTAGTTCAATTCCATCTAAATTTGTAATAAAATAGATTACACGCACGGATGTTTATTTGTAAATCGGGTCAGTAAATTGAAACATAGTCTTTGTAAATAAATTAAATGCTTTGGTTGGTAATTGGGTAACTGTCTTCTTTTATTTAAACTGGACAAATGGCCGCTTGCCTCCTTTTTTTCTGCAGATAAATGACGAAAAAATGACGAAAACATCCATACTTCATTATGGTTATCAGTCAAAATAATATTATATCAGTTTTCATAATATTCATGAAGCAACTTTCTTCATACACGGACGCCTTATAAGAAGAGTATTTAGTCCCTCGAGGTATTCTTTTACATTTATACGAGTTCAATTTGAAAACAACATAAAGAGACCGGAAACTTTATAATTTAACGGAGATGCGGTTTATAAATTCAAACCATAATAATAAATATTTGTATTCGGCTTATTCCTTGAGTCGATAACACGAATGATGACGATGGCCTAATTAGGTCTTAATTAATATTTGAAACCAAGGGAGATTGATATTTTGTTCATACATGTGTAACAGGGATGTAAATATTGTGTGTTGTGCTGTGTGATTGTTCTGTCTTATGCTGTCTCGCGTTTATACTTCCTGCTGACTTAGAGCATGGATTCCAGGACTGGAGCCGTGAGTTCGATTAACAACAGGAGTATCCTGCCATACATGCAGTTTAGACCAAACTATGAAGTACGCCATTTTAATTAGAGTCGCAGCATAGTAACAGCATTACTTTAGTTCAACCGACTCTACTGCTTCCAAAGGAATACAAAATTGCTGGTGGATCTAAAATGTGATAACCAGCTATTTTCTATCCAAAATATGTAAAATAACTATTCATTCCCGATGGACAATGCAAACACTTCAAATAAATTCATGGATGGATCATAAAGCTAGGAGGGGGAAGCAGGTGCAAGGCCAACACCAATAGCCCTGTTCAGTAGCCGTTACTGATCGATGTATTGCGCTACACTCAATTAATGCATGTAGCTGCGCTACACTCCATTAATGCATGTAGTATTTGCGCTAAATAAGTGACAGACTTAAACATAGCGTTAAATTAATTTCCAATTAACAACTAGGATTTGTATTTGTAATGATATTTGATTGTTACTAGTATTTTGAAATTGGAACATCGTAAATACGAAGACAATACCGAGGTAGTTAACAAGGGTGGACAACTCCATTTAACAAAGTCAACTAGATTTATAAATATAACAAGATAATTGTTTAGAATAACAATATAATTTCAATATTTCCTTAACAATTGTTTCAGAATGATACACATATTATCATGAAGTAATCAAAATAACAATATTGTGTTAAAATGGACATTCTCATTTTAAAAATATAATTAACAATGGTAATTCAAAAAAAAAACATTCGAACATCAATAAATTGGTTGATAATGTTGCTTATATTATATACATTGAGCAATATGATTTATTAGCATAAACAATTACATAATTTGTTATTATAAACATAAAGAAAATCATACAAATTGCGTAGAAAACATATTACTACTACCTCAGTAATCTACACAAGAAATGGCAGTGCATATATGGATTTCTTTTTTAGCAGTACCATAATCACATCAGAATATAAAACTTGATATCACAAAATATAATGTAAATCACTTGGAGTTTTCCAAAACATAATCAACTAGAGGTTATAAATGATATAAAGTTTGTAAATTCACCGAAATGCAAAGATGAAATAAAAATTCACTTTATATATACATGTAGATTTTGGATATGCTTAAATTTAACACTGTTTAATACGAACTGGTATCTGAAGCTATGGAATATCAAATTAACATATCTATAAACAATATGTACTAAAGGATATAAATTAAACAGATTCATCTAATTAAACAAATCTTAATCTGATCTGAAACCATCCTAAAACAGGAACAAAAAGAAACAGTGACTAGTGAGTTAAAAGAATAACTCTTCCATCTTAAGACACCAAACTGATTTAATGCAACTGAATAAAAGGTCAGGCTAACAGTACAATTTCAAACGCCATTATTCTAAAATTGAGTATACATGTACATAAAATTATGTGATCATTTGTATATTAACAGTAACAATGTAAGCACCAAATCAATACATAAAATAATGTGCATATTAGAAATACTGCCCATTTATACAAAATTACAAACAAATACTAAAAACACCTACAAGACAAGATCCATAACAAAATCAAGTGTATAATTAACACCCAAAAGTTCTTTGCAATATATAATCCATAACAAAATCAAACTGTATAATTAATACCCAGAAGTTCTTTGCAATATATAATCAACCGAACAACAAAAAATAATAAAATATACCCATTTGAGTACCTATGGCCAATTTTGCTGTGTGTAAAAATATAATGCTCTAATGACAATAAAATCACAGTTTCTTCATCCACTCAAAGGCATATTCATAAACTAATAACATGATGGCTCCACCTACAAATATATGATTCATACATTGTTGAAATAAATGATTACAACATTGTTACATTGCATATAAAATAAATACTAAGGACTTGAACCTAAGAAATTGCCAGTGAGTCAATTTATGTGGCATGAAAACAGGTACCAGTAGTTCATTAGAAATTAAACTTAAATCCCAAGAAAATCATTAAAATGTAAAATAATCTAAAAGACTGCTAGGTAAAAAGACATGAACATAGCAGCTATGTCATTCGAGCAGTCCACAATGATTGTCACATATTTATTCTTTTGTGGGTAATGAGATTATTCATACCACACTCTGATCAAGAGTAAGAAACCATTATCTAATTATCAGAAATAATTATGATTGACTTCCAGTTCTTTCAAGGGCTATTGTTTATTATACAAAACAATCAGATGACAATTTTAGTATGTATAGATTTTAAGACAAAAATAAGCACTGTATATAGCATGGGTTCCATGTCGGCCGTATACATGTATGCCAGTCGGGAACGGGGGCTTTGGAAAATGACCGAAACTGGATCAGACCCGTAGGTCATTTTGCATGCCGGAAAAATAGCATATTTTGTGCTAAATCATAAAATGTAGATGTGAGATTGGATTTTTGTTTGACTGTCCTTGACCCAATTAAAGCCGATCGACATTTCAATAGCCAATCTGATTAAAATACAGATCTATATTTCGTTTTGTTTTTTTTATACTTTCGATGGCCTACACTACATGAAGATCTGACAAGTTATAGCGATAGGTCACGTCAGGGGTCAAAAGACCGACTTATGACCCTTTTGACGTCAGACATTTGATTAACCAATCAGCATTGATGTTACTAGTGGATTACCCACAGTTCCGTGAAAAACACGCCTAAAGCTCGCCGTAACAAACCGTTTCATTGGCTTATCCTGACACCATTCAGAACACGAGTTAAATAACAACTCTTCCAGATCCAAGTGTAGTAAAGACAAGTAAAACGAGATTTTGAACTATAAAAACGAAACGAAATAGGATATGTGTTTTAACCAGATTTTTTCAATAGCATGTAGTTTTTGACTTCTTATTATGTTCTAAAAAAAGCACCACTTTCTACGTGAGAAAAATGACCGGTTTGAAAAATTTTGAAGTGGAAGCCCTTGTATATAGATAGTGGAAGACGGGCGGATCGGGATAACAACAATATATGACCACATTTTAATGCGAGACACAATAATAGAAAACAATAATATAAAAACGTTTCCTCATTAAAAATACTGACTGAGGCTGCATTTAGTCAATCTACATTGTATAACTTTTTTTTTAACAACAAAAGTAGGCCAAAGATTTTAAGGCAAGGTAAAGAAGCTGGAAGAAGTCAATTCTTTTCGTGACGAAACATTCAATTAAGAGATGTTTTATTTATATCAATCATTGTGTTCTATTAATGTGTCTAAACAGACCTGTTTCTATATAGATTGGAAGTTGCTCACATTTCAGTGTGGGCATATTGGCATATAAAAACTAAGTACGCAAACATTGACCAGCTGGAAAAATTTTGAAGTTAGGGCTATGAAGTTTTACCTTAGCTCAAGTCAAATTCAAGCAATTTGGAATATCTAACATATTTCTATTCAATCTATGCTGTACCTATAAACTGACATGAGTTGATATAAGACTTTTGTTAAGAATCAAATTATTATTAGCCAGAATATATGACAGAATTAAATCATGAACTTCCAGCAGAAAACAGAAATCAGGGTAACAACTGACCAGTTAAGTTTTTTAAGAAAATGTAAGAAGAAATTTACAAACCTGGCCCAAGTCTTAGAATTTTTGGTAGCAACCCTTTATACAATGCTAAAAACCTGAATTAGAAAAAAGGTATACAATGTAGATAATTGACATAATTTTATATAAAGAACTGAAATTCTTTTCAGATTTTACCAGTATCCTATAATTATTTTTAATAGTTTGGTAAACATGTTGGATAACATATGCACAGACAGGTTACTAAATACCACAACACCAATAAGGTGTCCTTAAAACATTTAAACCATCCCTGTAACTTTATGACACCATCCCAATTTGAAGAGAACACAATTGTTTGTAAAACATATAATGTCAATTTTTACTATTAATTCGAAATCAGTGTATTTACCCCTCTTCTCTATAAACTGTAAGGATTGTTGCCATACAGGTTCTATATTTGATTTCACCAGGCACTGGTTGTGGACCCTGAATGCGACTTTTTGCCACATCAAATGGAATATTTATACAAGAAGAAAGAGTTCCCGACACTAAGCCAATCAGAAATTTTCGTCCAAATTCTTGTTTGGGATCCTAAAAAGTAAAACAAGATGATATACAGTAGTGACAAAAAATGAAAAATATGTCTATATCCTGTTGCTTAAATCTGTTTACGGTTTACATTTTTAAACCAGGAACTGGTTGCATATACTAGTTCTTTTAATGAACATGTTTCAGCTGTGCGAAGATATTTTAAGTTAGTGCATGCTTTGTCACCCAAACTAGTTTGACACTGTATGCAAGATTGTTATAACTGAATTCTGGAACTTTCACAATAATGCAGACAAGTATCTTCTAGAATGACTTTATATAATCCAGGTGACTGGTTTACAAAATAAAAGATATTGACTTCTTCCTATTTAACATTACCCCAAAAAATCTCAGGAATCTAAAACTCACCTTTAATTCTGGAATAAGGCCTTTCACATTATGATAAAAACCAAAATAAACCATATTAAATACACCATGACGACCTAATGTAGCTGTTAATCCCTTATTCATTCCTTTCAAACCAAAACCATCTTTAGCAATTATTTCACGAGCTGTTTGAAATGTTCCTTTTTGCTGAAATAAATAATTACAATCAAACACTAAACGAATCAGCATTTACATGTTTAGCAAATCCTCTATTATTACAAGTTCCTCCATATATGTCCTGCATATAACAATATGTATATTTCTCTACTCGGTCAATTTTGTTCCAAAATATTACCCCTTTCAAAGTTAAAGGCATAGTGATCTAATTAATGTCAACCTGGCGGTAGTTACACCATCAACATTTGAAGATATGTGTCAAATAGTTAGCAAGCTCCGCAACATGTATCCCGTCTTCTTGGGACAGTGTTCAAAGTTGCAACTCTAACCCTTGTCATCACTAATTCTATTTAGTTCTTGTTCTTTAACCCTTTTAATTTGGTAACTTTTTAGGTCTTCTCATACCAATTTACTAGAGTTATTGAATTGTAGGCATTCATTGGCTAGCACACAGAGTTGCCCGCAAATCAGCTTTTAAATCAAAAATATTGGCTTATGAATGCAAGACTTCAATTCAGGGAGCTCAACTTAACCTTATATGTGGAAGATGTGATTAATCAGACACTGAGCTCGACACATTTCGATAAATTGCTATTAGAAATAGGCTCTATTTAGAATATGAGTAAATCCCTATAAATGTCAGTTTTTGTCTTCTTGCAAATTATACCATTAACCATATTAAAGTAGTTTTTTTGCACTAACCTGTGCTAATTTCCGTCTTTCAGCCTGCAGCTTGACTTTAACCACTTCAAAAGGATTAATGACAAAAGCTTCTGTCATTCCAGAACATAATCCTGCCAGTGTGAAAATCTGATGATATAATTTTTAAACAAAAACCATGCATAAGATACAAAGTATTATATAAAAGAAGTGACATAAAATGATCAAGTCATTATGGACAAAAATAATGTACAAGGTGTTACACATAGCACAGAGAAAGCAAGTCAGTATCTGTATCAAAAATCATGGATCCTATAAGAATATTAGGACATAAAATGGAACAACATTTGCAATGTGTCTGTAGATAAATGCCAGGAACTAGGCCTACTTACAACAGGTTGGCCTAAATATCCACCATAAGCAAACATATTCTTATATCTTTCAAAAGTAAAAAATTTGACTGCTCGTTTTGGAGTTTCAGCAAGTAAAGGTGGCAATATTCCTTTGTAGAAAGACATGGCTCTAAAATAAAGTTGTGAGAATATATACAGTCAAATAGTTTAGTTTTTATAATTGTAATAGGTATGGTCATTTGCTAGCACACCTGATACCACTTCTTATTTTTAGGGGGGTGTTCAAATGGATCAAAAATATCAGTATCAGAAAATTGACATTAGCTAAAGTCTATTTTAATTTTTTTTTAAATTATTTCCTTTTCACAATACAAACTCATAGCACTTTAAATTAAAGTGCTTTTGAGAAAGTAATAGTAATAGAAGTGAAGTTGGATGGTAGCAGACTCCCATATGTCAATTTTGAACTGTAAGTGTACACACTAACATCCTAACAGCCTGTTACAATATACACAACGGATTTCATTTTGTCCAGATCAATACCTTTACATTATGGGAGATTCGATAACGAGTTGGCAGTTCTCACTATAATAGTTAAAAACTAGATAATGTAAAGGCAATTTGCTGAAAATTTCATTCAAATTGATCCACTATGAACCGAGAACTAAGCGATTGAAATTTCCTCCTAGCCTTGATCATCATTACTAAAATCAGTACGCGCTTATCCCTTTAATCGTTAAATCGTGAAGGAAAGTTATGCAGTAAATCGGCTCATAATCCACTAAAGATCGCAGGCTAGCGATGCCATCTAGAGTTGATTATGGTCTGGATAGGTTAATTAATAATTTAGATAACATTTCAGGCCTAAAAAAAGACTTGCAATAGACTGATTTAGCTCTTGCATAATGTATGTTTAAAGGAGACAACTTTGGGTGAAGTGATCGAAAATTGTGACATTACTCATTCATGTAACTGACAAGGCATATTTTTTTCAGTCACAATGTTAATTTACTTGGTCATCTACCCACAATACTTACCCTTCTTGCCTATACATCTTTTTAAAACAATCAGCTAATGATGTATATCTATTAGGATCTTCTGGACCACGCTGTATTTGGAATCTGGTTTTAATTAAATCTAATGGATGCATAATTGACACCTCAACAAATCCTGAAAAGATGTTTTTATTTCTTCATTAAGATGTGAAAACAAAAGAATAACCAAAAAAATATCATATGTACATTTAATTAATTGACAGTGCTGAATTTTTGAACGGCTACATAAATGTATAAGTGTGTTTTTCATCAAAAGAATTGACAGTCTGGTGACATTTAATTTTGTATATTGATACCATTTTTTTTCTCAATGATTCAAAGCAAAACATCCAGAAGGTGAGGCAAAGTTAGAGATAAGTAAGTACACTATTCCTTACAATATAAGGCTAGATCTCCCAATTCAATCACAGGTAAATGTTACAATTCAGGTTTTAAACAATACATCTATACAGTTTTGTCAGTATCTGTATCAATATGTCGAATAAACCGATGCTCGCGAGTAATTGATGGTGAGAGAGAGAGAGTGCTGTTGGCAATAACAGCACAAGCTTACGAGGATAGCTATAAAGGTTCTGTATCAACGGACTCTGTGATTACACACGGGTAACTCAGTTGATTCCATTCAACGGGTGTTGTAGTGAAAAAAAAGTTTCAGTGAATTTCTTCTGTGGGACTGTGACTTATAGTATTATTAACACTGTTTGAACACTCGTACTCAGAGAATTTTTTCATGGGGACAATACAGCTTTTGTCCCGGATTAGAGTGAGGTGTCACTGAAAAGGAATAGCTGGAACTAGCCCCTCAACCACTTTAATTTTAAAGAGAAATGTTAATTCGAGGTCCTTGGGTCTTTCTTGGAGAGATGGGAGTTCTAATTCATGGAGCATTTTGGTTACACATATAGTGTCTCTAGATTTGTAGTCCTGCATAATGAAGCGGGCTGCTCTTTGAATGTGCTCCAACTTGTCAATCCCTCCTTGATGTAATCACTACTTCGACCCTACTTTTGCCATTGGCTAACTAAGCGTGTACACAAAAGAAACCTGGCAAGCTTGAATTCAAAATAAAAACAGATCATAGTGCCACTGTACAGGCCAAATTTCCGTCATAGCACATTATATATTACTATATTATATATGCCTTCGCCCGTCTTCATTATACCAATAATAGAAGGTCAAACTCCTGTGGTTTTAAAGTAGCTAAGTCTCTAACTCAATATCATCCAAAATCTTAGACATTGAAAACACGAATTATGTCAATTTAAATCAACATTGATGTTGTGATCTTACGGGAAAAAGATGGGCTTCTGATAACCAATAATTAAGACAAAATAAACATTTTACCATTGGTACCCGAATCGTGTACCATGGTGCATTTCAGTGCCATTTGTAACAAGGGACTCGTAGAATGAGGCTAAATATATTCCGCAAGTCATGTCAAACGGTTACGTCATGTTGTTATTTGGAGAGCATGCGCAATAAATACTATTGGTATAGAGTGGAATAACCAGACGCTAGAGATTGCCATTGGATTGAGACTTCTGGCGAATTTCGATGAACATAACTGATTAGAAATTACAGTAAAAACAGAAACGATTGAATGTCAATCAGTTTATAGACATTCACATTACAGTATTATATGCGTTGCGACCCATTTGTGTCAATTTTTAGATCCAAAATATTAGCAATTTAGCTCCTTTAAACTTAGTTAAAGTAGCTAAGTCTCTAACTCAATATCATCAAAAATCTTCGACATTGAAAACACGAATTATTTGTCAATTCAAATCAACATTGGTCTTGTGATCTTACAGGAAAAGATGGGCTTCTGATATCCAATATTCAAGACAAAATAAACATTTTACCATTGGTACATGAATCGTGTACCATAATGCGTTTCAGCGCCATTTCACGGCATTTGGAACAAGGAACTCAAAGAACAGGGCTACTGTCTGAACCGTGGTAAATTATAAACGGATTTCTTTGATTATGAACAAACTACTCTACTTTGGTTATTATAAACTTACCAGTGCGTTTGAAATTACCTCCGGTTAAATAAAATCGATTGTACAACTAAATATCCCAGCGAATAAAAAAGTTCTCTCTTGTAAAATTGAACTCCTCAAAAACTTTGACATCGAGAAATCAAAAATGGAAGCTAATTACGTCACTTGTCGGGACAGATCATTTCGTATAAGGGGGTCTAAGCAAGGCTTGTCTATTGTAACGGTGTTTGGCTCTTTTACGACAATTCAAATTTTGTGTATGAATAAGCTATTGCTCTTGGACCCAGTAATAAGTTTGGGCGTTTACAAACATAAATACGCCCATAGTCCGTTATTTTGTTTCCGTCTTGTATTAATTATTTGGTTAGAGAGTTGGGTGGAATTATTTCTTTTGAACATAGGTGCTGAACAAAAAGAACAACATCCTTTAACATTTCCTGATGAACTTAAGCAGTCCTGCCAATGAACCTCGGCAATCGGCTGTAGCCGGGGTAAATCCGTAAATGCCGATGAATTTTACATTTGCCCCCGTAAAATAAATAGCCGAGGCCGTTGAATCATTAAAGCTGCAATTTCATATTTTTAAGTTATATTTTTAAAATTTATTAAAATAAAGCCTTAAAATAGATGGTATCCATAAACCATCCTACCTTGTTAAAGAATAATCCTATTAATCCTATAAGTCACTATTGCCAGCTGAGAAATTGGCAAAAATATTATTTTCAACTTCAAATCCCAACGTTTGAAGGTAGCTAATGCATGGAGGCCATAGGAAAACAAGGGAGGTAATTGTGTTATTATTTCCTGTGTCAATGATTTTTAAGGGTGGGAAATAATGCCCATGGTTGTATAATAGTGAGTTGATAACCTATTGAGCAAAAGACATAGAAATAATTATGTTTTGACTTTCTTAGAAAATATGAAATTATCGCTTTAAATTGGTTTATCACCCAATAATACATTCTACAGTAGATATTGCTTGTGTGATATATTTCATAATCTACTGCGATATCTCCTTAGGAATTTGATTGGTCAGTTGAAAAGGAACTACTTTTTTTTATTTTCAAAGAACAGTTCATTTCTTATTAAAAGTAACTTTTTTTAAATTAACCAGCGGCTGCCAGGCAGGATACGCCCACATTTTCGAGAGATGGATAGAAAACAAGCTAAAACGAAAGTGATTTTTCCTAAAATCAAGGGCCATAATTCAGGAAATTACAATTCGATATGTGCAAATATCGAAAGGAACCAAGATCTTTGAGTTATAAACTTACATTTCAAGTTTCAACAAAATCGGATAAAAATTGTGACCTCTATAGGGTCCACAACCTTGATATACCATATTTTTACGCAATTTGAGAACGAGGGGCGGCCATTTTGTCTGTCAGTTTTGGGCCGATTTTCACGAAATTTGAACTCAATCGTCCTTAGGGTGTAACGGTGATATAATTATACGTTTTTTTAAATCGGATAAAAATTATGACCTCTATAGGGTCCACAAGTTAAAAACGTGATTTTTCGTACATTCAGGGGCCATAATTCAGGAAGTTACTGTCCGATATGCGCGAATATCGAAAGGAATCGAGATCTTTGGGTTATAAACTTACATTTCAAGTTTCAACAAAATCAGATAAAAATTGTGACCTCTACAGTGTTCACAAGCCAAAAACGTGATTTTTCGTACAATCAGGGGCCATAATCCATGAAGTTATGAAAATGTGGGCGTATAAAAATGAACTATTGTTATTAAAATGACCTTGATGGAAACACTGGGTCAAAATAAAGGACTTTGCAATGGTTGAATTTCTGTCACAAAATGATGTATCACTACGCTGTAATGTTCAGTAAAAGTGAAATCTACAGCAAAGGATTATATTTATCTATTTGTGCATGTAAGAAGGGATTGGGTGATAAATAAAATCTCCTACTCGTCTTTTTTGATATCCAAAAATATCAACACAAGTTGATAAAGTAAAAAAAAAAACGATATAAAAAAAAACTGGTAGGAGATTCTCTATATAACGTTATTATTTTTTTTTATATATAAATACTAAAAATTATTATCAACAACAAATCATGGCACACATCGGTTTAATTATCAGCAGATAGTTCCATGTCTTTCTATTTCTCTTCGAATATAATTTCCGTTGTGCAAAAACTGTTCAGAATTTTGCGTCTCGGTAACACATTTAATTTCCGAAAATCCCGGCTTCATTTTGAAATTCACAGGGCAAATGTATCCATACGATTATTCTCTCAGTTATTAACTATAGGCCTATATTAATCACAAGTACAACTCGATTTTGAAATCCACAGAGAATGGAATTTTCGAATGGCATTTCGTAGATCACAATCATGCCTCAGCCAATCAACGCTTTGAATTCTATTATCGTAAAAGGTACCATGCCATATGAATTAGTGTATGCTACACAGATGCAGTGAAAATGGTTAAATTTAGCGCGAAACTTGCATGATTTTTTCCCACGGTCTGCATAATTAACACACACGACCCAATAATACATGCAATCTGCGATACCTCTTTTGACAAGTGATTTTTTGTTTTAAATTCATTTTAATAAAGACGATAAACGATGTTTAGACATCCCGAACTGTTCTTATTAACAATGTTTCGATTTCAGTATCTATCGAATAACCCCCCCCCCCAAAAAAAAATTTAATCAGGAATATTACGGACGTGAACAGTCGGGCCGTGAATCAAATATGGAAATTATTGAGAAGCGGTGTCCTTTTTTCATAGTTTTTGTGGTAATCATAAAACTTTGAAAATAGACATTGAGATTAGACCCCGTGTCATGAAATATTATCACTTAAAATTATGAAATAAAGTATGTTTATTTATAAATGTTAGCCACAGAGTTGCATATAATTGACAGGGATGTACGGCCTAATATAATTTATTAAAATATATATAATACCCACTAACACATGGTTACAATTATGAGGTGATGATGTGAAAAGCAATATTTACGAGTATTCGTGTAATCCGTGATATATTCATTGTGATTAAAAATTTAGTAGATTGACAATCGTTTCCAAATTAATTTCATTGTCTTCAATTGCCATTTTTGTTGCCCAAACTCAAACAATCGGAAAGGTCCCCCTGTTGTTGTGATAGCAGCACACATGATTGTCAAAATTTGTCAACCATTGTCCCCTTCAATATATTAAGATGGGTTAGCTCATGACGTTATGATGAACTTAGTCGAAAATACAAGAAACAACATTAACTTTTCAAGAGAGAACTTTTTTTTTTCGTTGGGATATTCAATTGTACAATGGATTTTATTCAACCGGAGGTGATTTCAAACACATAGGTCCAACCTCGTGGGTTTTCTCCGGGTCCTCCGGTTTCCTCCCACTGCTAAAGACCCCTACGCGCAAGCGAATTATTGAAATAAAATTAAACCATATGTTAGTCCCGAAATTACCTAGTTTGTGTTGAGTGGACATTAAACCCCATTTCTCTCTCTCTCAAACACATAGGCAAGTTTTTAATAACAATTATTCAGTAGTTTGTTCACAATCGACGAAATCCGTTTATAATTTACTACGGTTCAGACAGTAGACATATTCCACAAGTCATGTCAAAAAGTGACGCTATATTCTTATCTGGAGAGCATGCACAATTAATACCATCGTTGTAGACTGGAAAAACCAGACACTAAATATTGCGATTCACATGAGACTTCTGGCGTATTTCGCCGAACATAACTGATTACAAATTACAGTAAAAACAGAAACGATTGAATGTAAATCAGTTTATATACATTCAAATTACATTTTTATATGCGTTGCGACCCATTTTTGTCAATTTCTTGGTCCCAAATATTAGCGATTTAGCTCCTTTAACCCCCATTTACTGTCTGTTCCAGGTAATACTACGATTCGAAAATTGCTTGTCATTTCTTCAAATTTTAATTAAAATGGCTAAAACTTTGTGAAATACCTCGAATGGTCACGCCATTGCTTTCTTTCTTGGGAGAACTAAGTTCAGGTCAAGTTTTATAGCCTTTCTCCTTTGTAAAATCAAGGTTTGTTGACATGTTACTACTGGAAACAGCCATGTTTGGCCTAGTTATCTGGGCGAGCCTAAGTGGACAAGGGGTGCTGGGTTTGCTTTAAGTCGTTTCACCCTACTTGGATGTATTGGTGGTTGCTTCAGTCCAGTAGAATATAACTCTTTTCAAAGAGTTATTTACTGAATCTCAGACCACGGTCGTTTGTCCCACTAACTTGAATATTTAATTGCCCTCCGTCCGAAGATCGTCATTTTTTGATATCGATATAAGCTATATGCAAAATTTAACCCGCTACCGTGCTGACTTGTGATGGAATTGTGGAAGGGGGCTGCAAGACATACTCAAACGTAACTCGGTCCACAATGTCCATTGGTTATGGCGGTTTGCATTATTCAGTGGCTCAAAATTTGCCTTGAGAACTGTTGGAAATTTTAAACTTGAGCTAAGACTGGCATGGTGATCAACTAATTTTCTATGTAGCGCAATTCCCAATGAAACCTTCAACAAAAATAATACTACTACTATATAAGATCATTAAGACAGTTATTAAATCAATAACATGACATATGTGACTGTTATCTAAAGATTAAGATAAAGAGCTGATAGTTTAAAATATTATAGTTTAAAAAATAGATAATGATAAAGGAATAAATTGACACTTCAGTCAAATTACATAATTCTGAGCGAAGCTATAAATGTTGGGAGTTTTGATAAGAAAAGCGCAGTCTCGATTTCCATTTCTACCATTTTTACGATAATAAAAATATTCTTGATTATCCATTTCACTCCATTAAAAATCACAACCATCCGATGCTTTAGAGAGTTGACTATGTAGGCCTACTGGTCATGAGAATAAATGTCTAATTAATAATTTAAATAACATTTAGGGTATAAAGAAGACATGCAATAGGCAAATGTGGCTCTTACATAATGCATCTTTAAAAGAAATTCACTTACATACGAGCCATTACTGTGTCGATTGTGGATGGTCGCTAACTGGTCAGGTCAAATGTATCTAATTTTGGTAAACAGTTTTTTAACCATCCTGAATTTGCGACCCGGCTTTGTAGAGCCCCGTACACAGAATTAATTACGTATATTTAGAACGTAGGCAATATTTTTTTTAAAAAAACTTTTCATTGGTTTATAATTCACTGTATTATGTTTCTCAAATAACTACAGTAAAATAATTGTTTGACACATTCCTTGACATATCGCATAATTTTTATCTTGATATTGTGCATATTAATATTCCATTATTTAAGGGACTATATTTTCCTAAAATTCGTTTGTTTTTGTTTTATTTTCTACTACAACATCTGAAACAAATCTGTTGTGCCTAAATCTAAAGGTCTATATTTAAAGGAATACCGGTATGTGAAACTATTGTAAATCCCAAAATTTTTAAGATATCTTACAAATATTTTTCACTTTATCCCAAAGGTTACTATTCCAATCCGATTAAAATACAGATCTATATTTCGTTTCGTTTTTGATACTTTCAATGGCCTACACTACTTGAAGATCTGACAAGTTATAGTGGAAGTTCACGTTGGGGGTCAACAGCGCGACTTTTGATCTTATGACATCAGACATTGATTAATCAATCAGCGTTAACGTTTCTAGTGGTTTACCCACAGTTCCGTGCATCAAAGGCCCAAAAACTCGCCGTAACGACCGTTTCAATGGCTAATCCCTCACATCATTCAGAACACGTCAATAATAACAACTCTTCCCGATTCTAGAGTAGTAAAGACAATTAAAACGAAATTTTGAACTATAAAAACGAAACAAAATAGAATCTGTGTTTTAATCAGATTACCATTCAATCTGCTGCAATGCAATTCTATGAATATCGATAATGTAATGAACAGTGGGGAATATTAAAATCTGTTGATGTATATATTCGCAAAAATATAATTTTTGCCAGAATGACGTCATTTTCAGTGACCAGTTGGTTATATCTAAGGAATATTCACAGAATGCTGCAAATTTTTTATGAAAATCAAACAACTATTTATTCTTTTATGGGCATAAAAAGTTGAAAAGTGATTCCCACAAAATTGCTTATTTTCCGGACATGGGACATGTCAAAAATTTGAAATGATCTATGGATTTTCGTTTGCTCTTATATATGACTTATATATGCCTTTGAAAATAGTTATGTTGAAAACGAAATTTGAAAATTGGTTTCAGTCTTGCTCTGCTTATTTACAACAGCAGCTAAATTTTAACCCCTAAAGGTGTTCTGAAAAGGTAAAAAAAAAAAAAAACATGTTTCTCTCAATCAGAGCTATAAAGTCTCAGAAAACAAAATTCGGAATCATTTTACCCGACATATTTATTCAAATTTAAATAAGGGCTAACCTTTCACACCAATTTACATATTTCTGAGAGTTCGCATGGTTCTGACATGTGCCGACTTTTCAAAATAGCTTTAATCTTTAAGTCACTCAAAATTATCCAATGAGAATTTTTGTGCGAAATAAGCAAGGTGGAAACAGAAAAAAAAACATATCAATCTGAACAAAAACAATATTGTTTCAAACAAGCTTCAAAGTTTGAAAACCTAATAAGTATTATTGTTGCGAAAGAAAAGGGCGAATTCTCCTTCACTAGACATTTCTAACCGAATGCACCAAATTTGTGAAGTACCTGTCTACCATAATGCAAAATGCAAGTGTCCCATTTAAAGGACAATATTGGTGCCAGTCATTATCACATATGTGATAGAGCTGGTTAAACACATTCCAAATATAATTTTAACACAGAGATCATTGCTACGATAGCTGAGTAATACAGTTTTCCAGAATCGGATGTGACGAACGCCAAAGGAAAACACGAGTCATCTCTCTATATAACTGACTGATGTGACGAGTGATAACGGATATACGGGCGAATTTCTGCTGACTAATAATTCATTCGAAGACCAAAAGTAGTTGTATGAGATTGTGAGAGGATATCTGACAATTCATAAAAAGAATTGACTGCCACTAGATAAGTGAACACATATCACATATGTGATAATGACTGGCACCAATATTGTCCTTTATTAACGCACGCATAGTCGAAATGTTTATGTTCTGAGAAAGTGACAGTCGAAATATATGAAATTTACAAGAGAATACTGGATTTTATCGGACTTCTAGTCATTTATTCTAAGGGAAGAAATCAAAGGAATGACAATTCCAGGTATGTCACAAAGTTTTAGCCTTTTTAATTAAAAAATGAAGGCATGGCAAGCATTTTTCGAGTCGGAGTATCACCTGGAACAGACAGTAGTTCATTCATTCCAACCTATATCATTTAATTTGTTTTTAATCATTTACCAGCACACCCGCCTGATGCAAACTGCATCAAAGCCAGAGTTGTTGCACTTTTCTGTTTTTCTGCCATCTTAGTTCATTAACTAGAGCAACGACTTGGCAGAATTAATTAGGTAAAATCATTGTCGGCTAGGTCAGGCTTGTTAAGGGATTCCCTGGTTATTTCTGACGTCACACACCGGGAGATTTTATTGTTTGTTTGAATATTTTAATAAAGTGCTATTATTGTATATGATTTACTAAGAATTTCTTCTTATTATATTCCCTGTATGTCTAACCTTTTCTGTCATTTTATATCATTCCCGATCTGATTGTTTATATATTTAGTTGACGACAAATGTTTGCTCCTTTGAAGGGAGATTACTCCCATTTATTTGCATGTGCGGCGTGAGGTTGGGTATATTTGATTTTATATATTTTATTGGATTGTAATTTCATAATCTATATATACATATTTTTGTATACATATTACAATCTCTTTCTTCTGACTAAAATTTCTGACACTTCTAGGCCTATCTCATCTGTAACTACTTGTAACTTACTACTAACTTAGTTACTTAAAAGTTAGAGAAATGGTTCCACTTCCACCACTCATTCACTGAATAATAGTCATTCCGTCTACTAACCTAGTTCCTTTAGGAATTCTCTCTGATCGGACGATGTCCGCAGACAGTTCCTATAGCTGCACTCTTTCCCACCGCTGTTATAATCAGTCTATTTTGGAACCCTTAGCGATTATATAAACATGCCATCTGCAAATGTTGGAGTCTCGTAATGGCTGAACAGTTCAAACGTATTTTGTGTATGTTTTTAATCGCAAAATTTTACTTAAAAATAGTGGAAATGTGTGTCAGCTGTGGTAAGAAATGATTCCTTTGGCGAACAAAGAAGAATCACAGTGAAAAATAGGCGATAAGAGTTCCAAAACAGCCTTAGAACAGAGGTGAGGAAGAGTGGCACTTTCATATTGCCGCTATAGCCATAGGAACAGAAAGTGAATTGTCAGCAGACATCGTCTGATCAGAGACGGTTCCCTTTAGGAACTATCTTCCGTCTGGTCCAGCCACAGTAGTGGATCGTTCTAAGTCTAAGGACTTCCTTTGAGCAAGTTTTGTAGTCATTTGATGACAAAAAACTGACCTCAAACTGTATTGCACTGCACATACCCAGTAGTTTAACATATAATAACCCAATTCCCATAGAAATAAAGCTGAATCCTTACCACATAATTATATGATTTGATAAAATCCATCAGCTATGCCATATTTTTTTCCTTTCCAACTTAAAATGTCCGCCAAGCCAGAAATAGTGTGCACACTATGTCACACTTGACAAACGTCACTTTCCATATATGGAGTTCATGTTCATATCTTATTATTTATATGCTAATGACTTGGGCGTTGGAAAAAATAGTAGTGGTTCGTAGTAACAAATCCTTGTAAGGAAACAAAGCCTCGAAGAGTGTATCAATTGTAGACAAGACAAGTGCGCCACTACAATTGCAGCTATGTGTAACTAACCGAAACCTTATTTCAATTTTCATGGAGTAGACTAGTTTGTTTAGAAACGGTCTCTGATCGTACACTGTCCTCTGACCGTTCCTGTTCATCCCTATTAAACTGCAATGTGAAAATACCGCTCTACCCCCTCCTCTGTTCTAAGGCTATTTTGGAATCCTTACCTTTTATTTTTCACCGTGATTCTTTTTTTTTTTCACCAAAAGGAATCATTTCTCGTCACAATTGATACAAAATTATAATAAATCAACACTTTTTTCAAGCACAAAAACAAACAAAATACGTTTGAATTGGTCTACCATTCTGAAAATTGCGTTTGCGCTGGCCGAAGGTTGTAGGTTCGTAATTAATTTTATAAACCAGCAAACAGAAAGAAGATTTTGTCCCAATTCGATATGTACAGTAGTGCTATGTATTGTTGCATCATGAAAATAGGCTAAATATTCATTTATGTTGATGATTATTGGAGCCTTTTGTGTTCATATTGCTGTGCTTGGGCTTGGTGCCATCTATATTTTAAGTAACAATATGCAATGTAGTGTGTACAAACTACGATCACTACCGTACTCTTAATCATTATAAGAAAAAATTGATTGCAGTTTGTAGAAAATTAAGAATATCAATTGTGTCCCCACTTTAAAATTTACAATAATCAAACTTTGTTACCTCATAGATGCAACCACAACCCCTCTATGAGTTATTTGTAGATGATTGTGTCCAAAACAATGTGCCTACGAGTACCAATCCTCCATAACTTATACCTTGAGTCAAATGTACTTTTATGGATACCACATTCAAAAAATAAGTTGAACAAAGTTGCAATAGTAAACGATTTGATAACAGTAAACTTTATAATGTCTGGAACTGAAACTGTGCGATAATTATCAAAAACCCAAGTGCATTTTGTCAAATTACACAAATGTAAATTTCTTTTTCAGCACCAACTATGGTTCAATTATTCCGTGCCTGTCAGTCTTTATATGGACATTTGCTGACTAAAGGTTTTTCTTTGAGAAACAATTTAACCAATACCATTTTAGGTAAAACAAATTTAATTAAAAAATGATATTAATAAAATATATTATGGTGACTAAAAGTTGTTCTTTATTAAACAGTCTGTGCTGAGAATAAAACAACACATCTGATCAAAAGAAATATTTATACTAATTGTTGTAGGACATGAAGCTTAATGTTACTTTAACCTTTTTAATCAGCTCCCTGACTGTATAGTTTCCTACATATTTATTTGTTCTGTTTTTAACAGTATTTTAACCGATGCGAAGTAGTGGGATTTACTGTTTGTCGATGAACAACAGATGACAATCATCTGTAGCTATTGCAAATTACTGACTTGAATAAGCTATTCATGTCAATAACTTGTGCTTTTGGAGACATCTATCCTTATGGATAATTCTGCTGAAAATCTGATAATGGAGAGACTAGACCCACCCATATACATGTATGTATGCATTACTGCTGATTTGTATCGCAGGAAACTATTTATTTTTTCTCTTAAAGGTTTTCCTGACATGTCTAGTTTCTTTTATGGTAGATTTATGGCAACATTAAATCAGATACACAGAGCTGGACCTCCTAAATTTAAAACTCCATTAAAGCGTGGAGTTTTGGACGGAAGACCATTTCTTAGAGGTGTTGTTTTAAAAACTATGATTAAAAAGCCTGTAAAACCTAACTCTGCAAATCGTAAATGTGTACGTGTGAAATTAAGTAATGGTAAAGAAGCTACAGCCTACGTTCCAGGAGAAGGTCATAATTTACAAGAACATAGCATAGTATTAGTTCGTGGAGGTCGTACACAAGACTTACCTGGCGTGAAATTAAAATGTGTTCGTGGAAAATACGACCTGGCTCACGTGAAGAAATAATTCTGATTGAGTGTTGTTTTTTTTTTAAATTTAACTTTAGATTTATAATAACTTGTAGACATAGAAAAGTGCTGTTATAAATAATCCTCAGTTGTGTGTTATTTTATTGTGATATTATATCTGTGACCCTATTGCCATATTAATATTTAAATATTTAGCAATGCTATGATAGTATGATGTACTGAAGTTAGTACACACATATTCAAAATTTTGACACCTGGTTCTATCGGTTCTTAACATGATGGAATCTAAAACAGCTAACTGTTTATATTGACTTGATATCTTCTTACTGTGCAATTTGTGGATAGAATGGCGTATTGTGAATTTTGCATTTAAACTCCTCAGCTGTACCGTAAATAACATCATTATCATAACTGACTTGTGGTGAAATTCAACTTAAAAGAGAGGGAAATTAAATGACTTAGTAGCATTGATTTAACGACTTTATTATCCCATTTCACCAACATAGTTATTTCACATCGCTTCCAGGGTTCCAAAGCTTGTCAATTTGGTTTAAAAATATGTATTTTTTGGCAAAATAATTGATTGTTCTTAATTTGACTGATGCAGCATAACTGACTTAATTGGAGAATCAAGGCTGTCTTAAACTCAAATTGAATTGAGCAACCAACCAATTACCGCAGTGTCGATGTATGCCGAATGCACAGATTGACTGCTTTACATCCAGTCGCTATGCGGATGTAAGCCATGCTTTACTCTGGATTATCTATTTTATCATTAAACTCTTAAATGGCCACAGTTTTCTTCTAATATACATACACTCAGAGCCATTCGATGGCCTAGGGAGTTGATTATAGGCTAACATTTGAAGCTAGCAAAAGACCTGCAATATACAGATTTAGCTCTTACATAATTCCTCTTTAAGCTTTTTAATGGACATGTATTAAAAACAGATAAAAAAACAAATCTGTACCAGAAAATATGACAGGCACAATAGTATCTAAGTCTGACAAAGCCTGAATATATGCCTGACAATGTCTGTGACAGGTACCTTATTTCCAGGCTTGCTGAACAGGCATTAGAGATCAGTGTTAAATTAGAGAAAGATTGGGAACACAATAAATAAGGAGAATTGTGGTATATTTTATGTGCTTTATTTCTTTCTTTTGCAAATGATATATATACTCTTCAAAAAAATTTGATCCCTGCATTGGCCGAGAAAGTTCATCCAGATTTTCTGGCGTGGTTTCCCCTTGTCAGTGATGCAGGACGGAGAGCCTGACAAGGACAGCTGTCTAGACGTTCGGATGGGACGAAATACCGGGGTCCCGTGTACATATTGGCATGCACGTAAAAGATCCCTTGGCAGTTTGAATTCGATATAAGAGTAGGTTGTAGTGCCGCTGCCTGGGCAAAATTTCCCTCATAGCACACTGTATGGCATATGCCCGTCTTCATTAGCCCAGGTTAGGAGCAGAACAGTAGCACGTTAAACCCCATTTCATCATTGAATTATGGCACTTGATTGTACGAAAAATCGCGTTTTTAGCTTGTGGTCCCTCTAGAGGTCAAAAAAATCTGTTTGAAAAAAAAAAACGTTTGAATATTTTACCGTTACACCCTAAAGACGGTTGTGGACCCTCTAGAAATCACAATGTTGCTCCGATTTTGATGAAACTTGAAATATATCTTTATAACCCACAGATCTTGGTTCCTTTCGATATTCACGCATATGGACACAGATCACCAAATATTCCTACGCCGTCACCCACGAAACAAGGGCCAAAGCTATTTTTAGTCTTCCTCTCCCTTTTCCTTTTTCCCCCTTTTGCATGGCGATTTTTGTTGACTTTTTGGTGTAGAATTGAGGAAAAGGGTTTGAAAATACATTTTCTGCCAGGTTTTGGTGAATATTCATAATTTTGATGCGGAAGGATACAAGAGTTGAGAGGTTGGTTACGTTGAAATGTAGGGCCTGAAATTGCATGTTTACTTGTCTCTACTTCCAGCTTGTGTATCTCAAGTTTTTCATGAAGAACCTCATACGTGCTTTTGGGCAAGTGGTTGCCACATGTTGCTCCATCTGTGGTAGAAAGCGTTCTACCCAACGAAAATTTGGGAAAAAGTTAGAGCCGGTCTAAGATACGAGAATTAACATTGGAGTCAATGGGAAATCTTTAGTGATCTGTGTCCTGTCTGTGTGTGATAAGGCTGTCACTGATATGCCTTAGTTTTGAAAATATGAAGATTAAATTCTCAGAAAATATGAATAAAATAGTTTGGCTACAGAAAAACTAAAAAAAGTTAATTAAAAAAAAAAAATCAAAGTTTTGAAGAAAAATTGTGATTTTACTGCAAATTTCTCAATTTTCAATTTTTATTGAATTTTTAACAGTAAGTAAAATATTCTAATGCCCAATGTTGGCTTATTCAGTCTCAGAAAGCACAGATAAAATGAACAGTATTGAAATTTCACCAAATTTTGTCTAAAAATCAGGAATATTCACAAAAAATCTTGAGATTCCCCCCATTTGGATGTAGAAATTAATATTTTCATGACTACTAAAATGAGTCAAAATGTCTAAAAATGCCCATATTTTCTTTGCTAATATAACTTAGATGGGATCTACATGTTTGTCAGGTTTAGAAATAGCTCCAGCTTTCCTACAGAAAATTGAAAATTGGTAACACTGAGTTAATAATGTACAGCAGATGGGTTTGTACAAAATGTTCAAAACAGGGGTTGGCTCAATTTTGCCACTATTTTACCCAGAATAAGCATTTTTTTCTTCTTTGAAACATTAAATTCTTGCATTTCCTTCATGTAGGAAGCAATATCCCAGCCTTTCTAGACATTTTTTACTCCATCATTCTGTTTAGAGAGGCAATAAATGCCCCACCCCACCCTTTTCTATTAATGTGTTTTGAGGGATTTAAATGCACCTGTGTTGACATGTAAATGATCTTAATTGGAATTTGTGGTTGATATACAGCTAAGAATGTTATTTTTCCCCCAAAAATATTTTTTTTGTGCATTTCAAGGATTTCTAACCCTTATTTGTTCAGAGTCAAACGTAGAACCCTGAGGCATTTCAGGCCAGTGAGACCAGACCCAGATATAAAACTGGTGTAGATGTGTAAATGTCAGTTAAATGTTCAATATTTTCTTATCAAAATCCAGCATTTGTGGTGTTTGCTGCATTTATGTTGCCTATAAAACAATAAAATGTTAATTTTTCTCCTTTTCAGGCCTCTTTTTATGTTGTCAAGTCTGTCATGACTACTTTTTTGACTTCATTTTTTCAGGAAATTAATGTAAAGTTCCAGACATCTTGCTTCAGCACAAGGATTGCAATACAAATTTGTAACATGCCTCTGAGGTTTGAGATGTTGGAAACATTGAAATATTCCCAAATTTGTGAAAATTGTGTATTCTGTGACCCTTCTGTTAGAGAGGGGTGATCATAGACCAAATATGGCATTTTTTTCATTCATCAAGGCCTATTTTTAACCATAATTCATATTTATTGCACCTATTTTAGTTTATATGTGCATATGTTAGCCAGGGATGGTAAAACATAGCTGTTAGACAGATTCCTTTGGTAATGTAAGTTCTGCAACCATAGATTAGATTAATTCAATCAGTGGCATGTTCAGGGGGTAGGCATACATGTTTCAGTATAGATCTCTAATATTACAATCATTGCAACTGGTTTGCATTTTTTCTGTTTGCATATTGTCCACAGATTCTAAAAATATATTTCTTGTCCGTCCGGATATTTAAAAAAGTGGAAAATTATTGGTATTTTGAGAGATGCTACATGTAAATTTTGTACATTTTTCATCACATGGCAGTAAAAAATTATATTTTTGAAAAAAATTCCAAATTATGAGTGTTTTGTATGTAGTTTCTTTGTTACTTGTCTAATTTTTTCACAGAACTCAGATACTGCCTTTAATAAGAAAGATTTTTAAATTTTAGCACAAAAGGCATATGGACCTGAGATGCACCAGTGTACATAAAGCAGCATGTGTACTTAAAGGGCCATCATTTTTACAGTTATTCTTTGATTTTGATTTTCTTTCACCGGCATGTTGCCAGAACACATGGGAAGGAAATAAAAAAGGCCTTTTGGTGATCCCTGAAGTTTCACCCCTATATAGGACACAGATCACCAAATATTCCTACGCCGTCACCCACGAAACAAGGGCCAAAGCTATTTTTAGTCTTCCTCTCCCTTTTCCTTTTTCCCCCTTTTGCATGGCGATTTTTGTTGACTTTTTGGTGTAGAATTGAGGAAAAGGGTTTGAAAATACATTTTCTGCCAGGTTTTGGTGAATATTCATAATTTTGATGCGGAAGGATACAAGAGTTGAGAGGTTGGTTACGTTGAAATGTAGGGCCTGAAATTGCATGTTTACTTGTCTCTACTTCCAGCTTGTGTATCTCAAGTTTTTCATGAAGAACCTCATACGTGCTTTTGGGCAAGTGGTTGCCACATGTTGCTCCATCTGTGGTAGAAAGCGTTCTACCCAACGAAAATTTGGGAAAAAGTTAGAGCCGGTCTAAGATACGAGAATTAACATTGGAGTCAATGGGAAATCTTTAGTGATCTGTGTCCATATCGGATCGTAACTTCCTGAATTATGGCCCTTGATTGTACGAAAAATCGCCTTTTGTTTAGCGTGTTCTGTATCCATCTCTTGCAAAATGTGGGCGTATCCCACCTAGCAGCCGCTGGTTGTTAGCCTAATATTTTTATTTTCCCTCGAGTTCATGGCAGTAGGCTATTATAAATAGCTTGTTTTTAGTCAGTGTCCGATGCATAAAATTGACGACAGCATAGTATATAGTTGTTTCTGA